GGGAGGCTGCACCGGTGAGCGGCCCGCGGGCCCTGGGCGGGGAAGGGGCGCGCGCTCGAGCGCGGTGCTCGTGCCCCTTGGGCTCGGACGGACAGGTGGACGGGAGGTGCCCGGGATGGGGGATCCCTCAGCCCATCTGGCCGGTGTCCTCCCTCGGTCTCCGACGGCACCGCAGTCCGGGACATCCTTCCCCAACCCTCATTCCGGGGCTTGCTCTGCACCCCACCCCATCCCGGGGGCAGGTGCTCCCCAGTTACCTAGGACTGCATAGCCCTGTCTGTCTGCGTCTTGTCCCCCTCTCCTGGGGTCTCTGTCCTCCTGTCTCGGAATCTCTGTCCCCTCTCTCTGAGTCTCTGCCCCCTCCCTCTTTCTGGATCTCTGTCTCTTTCTGGGTCTCTGTCCCCATTTCCTTAAATCTCTGTCTCCCTCTCTCTGGCTATCTGTCCCTCTCTGTCTGGGTCTCTCTCTCTCTAGGTCTCTGCTCCCCCTTATCTGGGTCTCTGTCCCCCCTCTCTGGGTCTCTATCTCTGTCCCTGTCTCTCTGAATCTCTGTCCCTCTCTTTCTGAGTCTCTGTCCCCTTCTCTGTCCATCTCTGTCCCCTCTCTCTGGGTCTCTGTCCCCTCTTTCTGAGTCTCTATCCCCCTCTCTGTGATTCTCTCTCCCTTCTCTCTGGGTCTCTGTTCCTCTCTGAGTCTCTGTCCTCTCTCTCTGGGTCTCTGTCTCTGTCCCTCTCTCTCTGAATCTCTTTCTGAGTCTCTGTCCCCCTCTCTGTCCGTCTCTGTCCCCTCTCTCTGGGTCTCTGTTCCTCTCTGAGTCTCTGTCCCCCTCTCTGTGATTCTCTCTCCCCTCTCTCTGGGGCTCTGTCTCCCTCCCGGGTCTCTGTCCTCCCCAAACCACATCTCTTTCCATCTCTCTGTGTCTCTCAGAGTTTAATCTGAACCAAAGCGGATTGGCACCCGTCGGCGCTTGTCCTTGAGGGGGGTTAAGCTGGGAGGAGGAAGCCCAGGTATCCTGGGTCCCTGGGGGGGAAGAGAGCTGCAGGCCACAAATGCGGAGGTGGGCAGGCGCCCCAAAGGGCATGGGCTAGAGTCCTGCAGGACCTCCTCCCAGCCGGGAAGCCGGCTCCAATGACCTGGATGTTCCTCAGGGCAGTCTGCACGCTTCCCCCCAGTCTCCCGCCCCCCAACCCCAGCCCTGGCTTCAAGTCAGAGAAATTACTCAGCTGCGGAAAAGCCTAAAAATAATCTGGCCACCGCACAGGGAGGAGACGGGCTCCCCAGCACCAGGGCCCTGCTTGTACCCTCTGACCCTGGCCCCAGGGGCCTGGCCCTGGCCCCATCTTTAGTTGACCCTCAGCCGGTTCACTAGGCCATGCAAGTCCTTCTCGAAGTCTTACTCTAGTCTTGCTTGCTGCAGATCACCTCTGAGCTCCCAAGTTCCCCCGCCCTGAAGTAACATGAGAAAGATGGGAGGGAGGAGAGGGAGAGAGGGGGACAGAAAGACATGGGGGGGAGGGCTGAGATAACCTCCCCCTTCTTTTCCCAGTCCTCCAGCCCCTCCCCACCCTTTTTCTCGCTTCCTTTCACGAGTTTCTCAAAATACATCAGTGTGAAGTCAGGAGAGAAAGACGTGCTGTTGGAGGGGGTTGGGGGGCGGCAGCGGGACGGCCCCCTCCCACGGTCTCTGTCATCTACGTCTGGTTGCTCCTGACCCATCTATCCTCTGAGACCTCTGGGCTCAGAGTGCCCACTGGGAAGACAGAAACCCTGAGAGGGGGACAGGAACCCAGAGAGGGGGGCACAGACCCAGAGAGGGGGGCACAGACCCAGATAAAGGGAGCAGAGACCTAGAGAGACAGAGAGACCCAGACAGAGAGGGACAGATACCCAGAGAGAGGGAGACAGAGATTTAAGAAAATGGGGACAGAGACCCAGAAAGAGAGGGACAGAGACCCAGAGAGAGGGAGATAGAGATCTAAGGAAATGGGGACAGAGACCCAAACACAGAGAGACAGAGACCTAGAGAGGGAGACAGAGACATAGAGAGGGTAGCAGAGACCCAAAGAAAGAGGACAGAGACCCAGAGGGGGACAGAGACCCAGACAGAGGGGGACAGAGACCCAGAGAGAGGGGGAACAGGGACCCAGGGAGGAAGGGATAGGGCTTGTTGTTGAAGCCCCTTCATTTGGGCTAACTAACTGCCTCCCACACACTGCTTTTCCTCATCTCCAAGCGCCCAGGCCCGGGTTGCAGGGCGTCCGGGGAGGGGGATCTCCATCAGCCGCTACCCCCATTCCTGTCCTCTGAAGATCCCCAGGACCACCTTCCTTCCCACGCCCCTGGGCCTCTTATCCTTAGATGATGAGCGTCCCTGGGGAGTTCCCACCTCACAGTCCCACGTTCCAGGCATGCCCCCACTGTATGGGTGTGGGGTCCCGAGACCCCCACTTAGGAAGCTGGGTGGGCGATCCGGTGTCTCGTGTGAACGAGACATGTCACGTTCCAGGAACTGCAGTCCCATCTTGAGTTTCAGGGTCAAATATCATCTGCTTTCAACCTGGGCCAGAGTCTCTACCATCTCACGGCCTGACCCGTTCTTCTGACGGAGCCGGGGAGCCTCTGCCCTCCCGGACTAGCCGTTCTGGGGTTCAGGGCCCCCTCTCTAGGTGTGATGCAGCTCCCTCCGGTTTCTGCCCCCCTCCCCCATTTCTTCACTGTCCCTCCCACCTCCTTAAGTTCAAGGAGGGAGAGGGGCGCTGTGTTTTCTCCTGGCTTCCACGCCCCATCCCCCCAGACCGTCTGGCTGTTCCTTCCTCCCCCGTCCCAGTCTCCCTCGCCTCCATCTGTTCTGGTCCCTTCCTGGGATCCAGCCCGATCCCTGGCTGCCTACCCGCCTCAGCGAGGGGCCGCACCTCAAATCACGGCTCCAACCTACCCCTCCTCAGCATCTCCCCCTCTCTGCCCACTTTTCTCTCTGTGTCTCAACAAGGAGTCTGTCCCTCTCTGTCCCCCTCTTCTGGGTCCCTGTCCCCCTCTCTCGAAGTCTCTGTCCTCTGTCTCTGGGTCTCTCTCCCCTCTCTCTGGATCTCTGTCCCCCTTTCTTTGAGTCCCCGTCCCCCTTGATCTCTGCCACCCTCATTGGGGTCTTTCGCCACCAGTCTCAGGGCACCTGTCTCTCCCTGCAGCCTCTCTCTGGGTTGGAGGTGGCCCTCCAAGTCCCCTCTCTGTCATCACAGACTCAGTCTTGGATCCAGAGCTGGGCGGGGGCGAGAGTCACACTGGGAACGGAACCAATCCCCCACTAGGGCCATCTGTCCCCTGCCAGGACACCACCCGACACTCCCTGTCCCTATCCTGGGCTGAAGGCCTGGACTCCAGTTTCCCCAGGGAGGCCGAGGCTGGGCTGCGGGATTCCAGGGTCCAGGTCTCCCCCACCCCCTGCATCCCTGGGTCAGCTGGGTGTCGGCCCCACACCTGGGCCCGGAAGCCCAGAAGGGCAGGCAGGGAGGGGAGAGGGGAGGAGGGGTCGGTGTATAAAGCAGCCGCGGCTGTGAGGCATCTGTTCTCCACACCTTTGCTGAAGTATCTCCTTAACACCTTTTGCTTCCTCAAATAGACTCCTCTCCCGCAGAAGGGGCTGCGGAGTTTCTGGTGGGGGTGGGGCCGTGGGCACAAGGCCTTGAATCCCAGGGTAGTCTTCTGGGGTCTAGAACTCCTGAGTACAGACAGATGACAGACAGAGCTAGGGGAGGAGGGGGCTGAGGCCTGGGGCTCCTGGGTCTAAGGGAGAAGGGGGCTGGCCTCCCAGATTCCTGGCTTTGGGGAAGGCAGGGACTGGGGAGCCTGGACTCCTGGGTCTGAGGGAGGAGGGACTGGGTTTTGGAACTCCCAGGAAGGGAGGAAGGAGCTGGGGGTCCGGACTCCTGTGTGCTGTGGCAGGAGGGGGTCTGGACTTAGAATCCTGGGTCTTGAAAAGGAGGTGGTTGGGCCCTGGATTCTTGCGTCAGGACGAGGAGGGGGCGGGGTGCCTGAACTCTGGAGTCTGAAGGCAAAAGTTCTGGGGTGCAGACTCCTAGGTCTGGGAGAGGAGAGGGATGAGGTCCGAGACTCCCAGCCTTTGGCTCTTGCTCCCCCTTAGCCTTCTAGAGAAGCGACAGGAAGGTGCGGAAACGTTGGAGCTGAGTGCGGACGGGCGCCCGGTGACCACACAGACCAGGGATCCGCCGGTCCTGGACTGCACGTGCTTCGGCCTCCCTCGCCGCTACATCATCGCCATCATGAGCGGCCTAGGCTTCTGCATCAGCTTTGGCATCCGCTGCAACCTGGGTGTGGCCATTGTCTCCATGGTCAACAACAGCACGACCCACCATGGGGGCCACGTGGTGGTGCAGGTAGCTCTGGGCGGAGCCTGCCCTGTCCACGCCCCACTTCTTCACGTCTTCCCACCTAGGTCAAAAACCAAACTCACACCATTGAGTCAGTTCCGACTCATAGTGACCCCCATTGTTTCCGGGGCTGTAAATCTTTAAGGGAATAGATTGTCCCATCTTCCTTCTGCAGATCTGCTGGTGGGTTTGAACCGCAGGCGTTTCGGTAAGCAGCCAGATGCCTTATCCGTTAGGCCACCAGAGCTCCTGCTTCCACCTAGGTCACGCCCCTTCAAAACACAACCTGAGTGGCTCCGCCCATCATGAGCTGCCTGCTCAGCTCTTACGGCAACTCCGAGATCGCCCTTCACCTAAGCCCTGCCCATATGTAAATGAAGTCCCGCCCCTATTTCATAGTCCCGCTGCAAAATGTAGCCTTGGCCGCTGAGTCAGCTCTCAAGGAGGCCCCGCCCCTCCTCCATTTCTAGAGATTTTGCTCTTGCCTGCGGCCCACGCATGTCCCGCCTCTTCAGCTCTGGCTGTTTATGTAAACTCCGCCCCAATTCAGACTCCGCCTCTATTTCAGTGTCTCCGTGTCTCCGCCTCTAGCCAGGCTCCTAACTCCGCCCTCTCCCTTGTCTAGGACCCTGATTTGGGCGGGGCGTACCTGAGGCCCCACCTCTTGCTCCCTTCCACTCAGGCCCGCCCTTTTGCCTAGCTAGTACCTAAGGCACTTGACTGCTAACCAGAAGGCTGATGGTTCAAATCCACCAGCCACACCTCGGAAGGAAGGTTGGGCAATCTACTTCTGTAGTGATACCGCCTCAGAAACCCAATGAAGGGTCCCTATGAGTTGGTCCCTCTCGAAGGCACATAACAACAACAGACCCCATACAGGTTACTCGTGGTCCACAGACAATGGGACCCTTTAGTAAGTGGGACAGAAATGGAGAAAGACTCTCCATCACTATACATGGACCCGTTCAGGGAAATGTCCATTCAGGGAAGGGGCACTGAGTCACCAAAACAGGCAAAAGAAACGCCCTAACAACTTGGAGGAGAGGGCGTGCACTTTGATTGGTAGAGGGATGGAACACTAGAGTGGATTCCGATTGGCAGATGTTTTGGCGGGAGGCAGATCCTTGATTACGGGTTGGCTGCGAAGCTGAGTCTGTAGCGCTGATTGGTAGATGGACAGAGCCTGGGGCGGGGAGGCTGGTTTGATGCGCCTTTTTGGTCCGCAGAAAGCCCAGTTCAGCTGGGATCCAGAAACCGTCGGCCTCATACACGGCTCGTTTTTTTGGGGCTACATTGTCACCCAGATTCCTGGAGGATTTATCTGCCAAAAATTCGCAGCCAACAGGTACAGAGGAGGGATCTCCAGGTGGGCGGGAACTATAGTTTTGTGGGCGGAGTTCGAGGGTGTGGCCTTGAATTTGAGGGCTTCCTCTGAGGAAAAGGGAGGCGCCTAGGTCCTGGGGCGTGGTCTTAAAGAAAAGAGGGCTTTGGATTGTGGAAGGCAGAGTTCACAGGGAAGGTGGGGTCCGAGGCCCTGGCCTGCTGAGGGCGGAAAGGGCAAAGTCCTAGGCATAGCAGATTACTGGACCCTTTGCGGGCAACCACGGACTTTCCCCTCAGGGTTTTTGGCTTTGCAATCGTGGCTACATCCACTCTAAACATGCTGATCCCCTCGGCTGCACGCGTCCACTACGGCTGCGTCATCTTCGTGAGGATCCTGCAGGGGTTGGTAGAGGTAAAGCCCCGCCCCCATAAGGTCCCGCCCCTTTTAGCCCCGCCTCTCTCTAGTGACTCTTGGGGTTTTTTTTTCTGCTCCCCAGGGGGTCACGTACCCCGCCTGCCACGGGATCTGGAGCAAATGGGCCCCACCCTTGGAGCGGAGTCGCTTGGCTACAACGGCCTTTTGCGGTGAGGGGATGGGTCCGGGGGAAGAAAGGGCTGGAGCCAGGATTCCTGGGTCTGCAGGAAGAAGGGCCTGGGGGCCTGGATTCTTGGGTCTGGGGTGGGAGCTTGCAGATCTGACCTCCTGGGTCAGGGGAGGCAGGATTGCAGACCCAACGGTGTGTCTGAGAGGAGGGGCTGTGGCTTGTCTGTCTGTGTCCCAGGGGAGCTTGCACTCCTGCTTGTGAGGAAACCACGGTTTGTTCTCCAACCTCCCCTTCAGGTTCCTACGCCGGGGCGGTGGTCGCGATGCCTCTCGCCGGGGTCCTGGTGCAGTACTCGGGATGGAGCTCCGTGTTCTACGTCTACGGTGAGGGGCATGGTCGCCTGGTTCGGTCGGTGCTCGGGCGGGGCGGAGCCTGTCGGCAACCCGATTCCCTCTCCCTCCTGAACCCCCCCTCCCAGGCAGCTTCGGGATCTTCTGGTATCTCTTCTGGCTGCTGGTCTCCTATGAGTCCCCGGCGCTGCACCCCAGCATCTCGGAGGAAGAGCGGAAGTACATCGAAGACGCCATCGGCGAGAGCGCCAAACTCATGAACCCCGTCACGGTCCGGGCCCAAGCTCAGGATGGGGGTGCGGTGGGGTGGGGAGGGCCCTCGAGGCACCGAGGCAAGAGAAAAGGGCGCTTCGAACCCGCGGCGCCAGGTTTTATTTGGGGGGGGTGGAGATCTCGGTGGGCTTCTGCAACTCTCAGGGGAGGTTGGGGGTAGATCGTAAAGGGGCGGGGCTAGGACCTAGGGGCGGGGTTAAAATCAGGGCGGAGTCAAGTCGCGATGTGGGCGGGACTGGCACCACTGATGGGGCGTGGCTAAAACAGACCAAGATGGGATTAGAGTGTGGGGGTTGATTTTAGATCTCGGGGGTGAGTCAGACTAGATTTAGGGGGACATTGAGTGGAAGGAGATTCCTGGGCTCACCCTGAGGGTCATTGTGGGACGTGGACACCTGCGAACCCACCTAGGGCCAGAGTCCCTGTGTCTGAAGTGTCAGCATGATGCTTGAATTCCTGGGTGCCCTGCTGGGGCATGTGGGGCCCATTCCTCTAGGTTCCTAGAGGTTACAGTAGTGGGATCCCTGGGTCTCTGTACGACCACAGTAAGTTCCCTGAAAGGACGCAGTGATGCCCCCAGCCTGGTCTCCGTCTTACGGCACCTCCCCTCGCCCCCACAGAAGTTTAACACACCCTGGCGGCGGTTCTTCACGTCCATGCCGGTGTACGCCATCATAGTGGCCAATTTCTGTCGCAGTTGGACCTTCTACCTGCTCCTTATCTCCCAGCCCGCCTACTTCGAAGAAGTGTTTGGCTTTGAGATCAGCAAGGTGGGAACCAGGGCGGGCTGCGCCCGGGTGAGGCCTGGGCGGGGAGCCAAGGACAGGGAGGACACGCCCGGCCTGAGGCCTGAGCGCCCTGCCCCGTGTACACGCTTGCTCAGGTGGGCCTGGTGTCCGCGCTGCCCCACCTGGTCATGACCATCATCGTGCCGATCGGCGGCCAGATCGCCGACTTCCTGCGAAGCCGGAGGATCATGTCCACCACCAACGTGCGCAAGTTGATGAACTGCGGGGGTGAGTGAGGCGGGGCCTGAGAGGGGCGGGGCCTGGGAAAGGCGGGGCCTGTGCGTGGTCCAGGATAGGCTGGCGTGGTGAGCTGGGTGGGGCGGATCCAGGGGGCGGGACCACAGAGAGAAGGGGCGGGGTCAGAAAGCAGGTCCGAGGGGCGCAGCCAATCAGAGCCAGCTAGGTGGCGCTCTGGCTGGAGCAGTCTCCACGCGGCAGGCTGTGGGGCAGCTGTGGGGCAGCAGTCACGGCCACCCACGGAAAGCCAGGGCGTTTGCGACAATTGAGATGCAGCAGAGTCTAAACCAAACTGGGCGGAGCCTGCAGGGGGCTGAGTCCAGTAGGGCGTAGGTGATGAAGAGGGGCTGGCAGTGAGGGGCCTGGAGGGACAATCTGGGAGGTGCATGGATAGGGCCTGAATCTTGCGTATTTGAACTGGCGTCGTCCAAGGCTGGGCCTTGTGGGGAGCTTGGGCCTGGTTAGGGTGAGTGCAGGTCAGCAGAGTGGGGGTCAAGGTCTGGATCCCCGTCGGAAGTGGCGAGAGAGGAGCGGATCCGATTGGAGCAGGACCAGAAACAGGCCTGGAGATGTGGTGAGGCGGTGAGGCGCCCTGGCCGGCGCTCAGGCAGGCAGCCCTCTGCAGGTTTCGGCATGGAAGCCACGCTCCTGCTGGTGGTCGGCTACTCTCACTCCAAAGGCGTGGCCATCTCCTTCCTGGTCCTCGCAGTGGGCTTCAGCGGCTTCGCCATCTCGGGTGAGAAGCAGGGATCTGAAGCTTGGGGGGGCCCTGGTCAGCTCTGCGGGGAACTTCCCGACTCAGGACCAGACAGAGCTGGCCGGAGGGATGTGGCTGACTGGGAGCCGCTCGGGTGAGATTCGAGTGTGACGGCGCCCCCCACCCCCGCACTCCCACTAGGGTTCAACGTGAACCACCTGGACATCGCCCCGCGCTACGCGAGCATCCTCATGGGCATATCCAACGGTGTGGGCACGTTGTCCGGGATGGTGTGCCCCATCATCGTGGGCGCCATGACTAAGCACAAGGTTAGCGGTTCAAAACCCACCAGCCACTCCACGGAAGGAAGACTGGGCAATCTACTTCCGTAGAGATACCGCCTTGGGAACCCAAAGGGGGGTCGCTGTGAGTCGGAATCCACTGGAAGGCAGCGAGTTTGGTTTTTGGTTTGGTTTCCTGGTTATGTCCTTCCCCTCCCCTAAGGCTCCATTCCCGGCTGTCTCTGGGCCTCTCTCTCCCCATCCCTTTGGGTTTCTGCACCCTCTCTAGGCTGGGGTTCACTCTTCACACCCTGTCTTTTTGTTCCCTATTTGGCCACCTAAGGGGCCCTGGTGGCAAAAAGGTTAAGTGCTGGGCTGCTAACTGGTAGGGTAGTGGTTTGAATCCACCCAGGGACTTTGTAGGAGGCAGCTCTGGTGATCTGCTCCTATAAAGATGCCAGCCTAGAAAACCCCATGGGTCAGATCAACTTTGTCACATGGGGACATGGGGGTCACTATGAGTTGAAATTGACTTGTTGGCATCTGACAACAATATGACCTCTGTCCCTGTTGTTCCCCCCCACCCCCAGACTCGAGAGGAATGGCAGTACGTGTTCCTCATCGCCTCCCTGGTGCACTATGGGGGTGTCATCTTCTACGGGGTCTTCGCTTCTGGAGAGAAGCAGCCGTGGGCGGAGCCTGAACAGATGAGTGAAGAGAAGTGTGGCTTCGTTGGCCACGACCAGCTGGCTGGCAGTGATGACAGCGAAATGGAGGATGAGGTTGAGCCCCCGGGGGCACCCCCTGCTCCTCCCCCCTCCTATGGGGCCACACACAGCACAGTTCAGCCCCCGAGGCCCCCGCCCCCTGTCCGGGACTACTGACCATGTGCCTCCCACTGAATGGCAGTTTCCAGGACCTCCACTCCACACATCTCTGGCCTGAGCAACAGTGTCAAGGGACCCCACTCCTCTGTGTCCTGCCTCAGGCCTGAGAAGCTCGCTCTCTTGTTCCTAGTGCTGTCAAATCCTCTTCCCAAATGCCTCTCAGGGGTAGTGAAGCTGCAAACCGGCAGTTTCAAGGATACCCACGTTTCCCTGAAGGCCTCCTAATGAGTTTCCGGGTCTCCTTCCCCACTCGTCTGCCTCAGTGGTTTCACATATCTCCTTTCAGGGCTTTCTTTGAATGGACAGTCAAACCTCTTACTCTCTGGTGGTTTCAAGGCTTCTGGTTTCTTTTAACACCAGGGACTGTCAAGCTACCCCTGGGGTTACCCAGCCCAAACTCCTTTCAGAAAAATTCAAGGTCCTTCCGCTTAGAAGTTTCACATTCTCCCAACTCTGTTCCACATTTTCTGGGTTGGTTTATCGCATCCTTGCCATTCCAGGGATTAATTCTCACCAGCGTTTCTGAGGGGAAATGGCGGTTTCAAGTCCCCCCTTGCACATTCTCCCCTCACCCCACTCCCCGCCAGCAGATCCTAAAGACTCTTTTGCTGAAGCACCAAATTCCCCAAGACCTCTTCCCTAGCTTAGAAAATGCCTAGGGAAACCACCACAACAGCGGGTTTAATAACAATATGCCCCTCTCCACCCCAATGCACTTTCTCCAACACACTTTTCAGGTCTAAGTAGTGGCTGCTCAAGTCTGTCATCTCAATGGTTAGAAACCACCACCACTGAGTTTCCCTATGGTGGTTTCAAGGCCTCCCCCTTCCCCTCAATTCCTTGCACTTTATCCTCCTGGGTGGTTTCAAGCAACCCCCAGTTTCTCAGTGGCCATTTGTTGTGTCCCTCAGGGGCTAAATACTAAAAAATCTGGGATCCTTCCCCTCTCAGACACCCCTCTTTTAGCTTAAGAATCGGGGGGACATATATTGGAGAAATCACAAAATACCGGGAATGGGAATGGAGGGGAGGGCTGTGTTCCCCCCCAGGGGCAGGGTTGTGTCTTTGTGTCTGTCTGGGTGACTGTAAAACCTGCCCTGCCCCCACTCCCAATAAAATGCTTTGGTGTACAGACTCCGTTGTCCTTGGCCATGGGGTCACAGGGGCTCTCGCCCAGGAGTCCAGACCTCCAGCCCTTCCTCCCCCAGCCTCCCAGACCCCAGACCCCAGAGCCCAGCTCCCCAGCTCCTCAGCCTTCAGACCCAAGAGTCCAGCTTCTCACCCAGACCCATGACTCGGGTCCCCCGGCCCCCTCCTCCCTCAGACCTAGGAGTCCCAGCCCTTCTTCCCTCAGCCCAGAAGTTTCAAACCCAGTAGCCTCAGACCCTGGCCTCCTCCTCCCCAAGGACTCAGGCCAGAGGAGTGGCCAGCGAGGGACACACGGTTTATTCCACTCCAGCCCGTGTTCTCAGCTCACAGCGAAAGCATCTCTGTTGGGTGGGACCCGCTATCCGAATGGACGGCTACGTAGCGAAGCTGCCGGGAGGTCAGGACCCTGGGTCCTTTCTCCGGCTGGGGATGGGCAGGTCTGGGGGGACCCGGGCGGGGCTCACACGAAGTTGTTGGGGAGCGTGGCAGGGGAGAGCGCTTCGAGGCGTTGGGGGGGACCCCCGCGGGGTGGCGGGGGCAGCTTGGGCGGCAGCGGGGGGGTTGGCGGCAGCTGCTTGGTGGTGATGTGCGAAGGGACCCAGGCGTCCGACGCGTAGAAGTACAGGTCGTAAGGGTCCTTGGGGGCGTCCAGGTGCATAACTAGGGAAGCAGAGTGATGAGGTCATACTGGGCTGACAGGGACAGGCCACCCTCTGCTGAGCGCCAGCCAATGAGGAGGCAGGAGAGAGGATGCGGGCCATCTATTTGAACCCGGGAAGGAGTTCTGGTGGCGCAGTGGTTAAAGCATTCCTGCTAACCAAAAGGTCAGCGGTTTGAACCCACCAGCCGCTCCAAGGGGAGAAGATGAGGCAGTGTGCTTCCCTAAAGATTTACACCTTGGAAACCCTACCGGGCAGTTCCACTTTGTCCTAATGGGTCGCTATGAGTTGGAAGTGACTCGGTTAGGTTTTATTTGGATTGGGGGCCCTGAATAGGCCGGGCAGGCGTGCAGGCCGTGCAGCAGGGGTGGGGCCTGGAGGAAAAGGGGCGGGGCTTGCATGGGAGGGGAGGGGCTTTATGGACCTGCACCCACCACTGCTGTCCAGTCGTATCCGACTCTTGGCGACCCCTCCTTGGGTTTCCAAGGCAGTATTACTACGGAAGTAGATTGCCCAACCTTCTGTCCGAGGACTGGCTGGTGGGTTTGAACCGCCAGCCTTCTGGTTAGCAGTCAAGTGCCTTAGGCACTACGCCACCAGAGCTCCTACCTTCACAGAAGCAAAGCCCAAACCAAACCCAGTGCCTGGAGGGGATTCTGACCCACAGCGCCCCTAGAGGACAGAGTGGAACTGCACCACAGGGTCTCCCAGGCTGTCAGTCTTTATGGGAGCAAAGCCCAAACCACACCCACTGGAAGCAAAGCCCAAACCAAAGTCACTGCCATTGACTTGACTTGACTCATAGCAACCCCTCCTTGGGTTTCCGAGGCAGTATCACTACGGAAGTAGATTGCCCAACCTTCCTTCCGAGGAGTGGCTGGTGGGTTTGAACTGCCAGCCGTCTGGTTAGCAGTCAAGTGCCTTAGTCACTGTTACCAGAGCGCCTGCCTAATGCAATTTCCAGCGGGGCCTGGGGCTGCACACAAGTGTGTGTGTGTGTGAAGTTCACTAAATTAGGGGCAGGTTCTGACACCGGAGCGGCCGCTGGCTCTCACTGACCTTGGATGGCGGCCTTCTACTTCTTTGCAGGGCGCCCTCTAGTGTCTGGAGAAACCCGGTGAAGGGAAGGGGCGGGCCTTCAAGGGGCGTGGCTCAAGGAGAGCGGGGCGGGGCCTGCTCCCGGGGCTGAGAGAGGGTTGCTCACCTGGCTCGTCGTGGTCCGGGAGTCGGTGGTGTGCGAAGGGCCGGTGCCGAGCGGCTCGGCGGTAGAGACACCACAGGAGAACCACGATGCCGATCAAGAGTCCGGTCCCAGCGAGGAATAGGCACAGGGCTCCGCCCGTCACGCCCCGTGGGCGCCCCACCAGAGTCACGCCTTAGGGGGAGAGGCCCAGGGCGCCTAGGAATCTAGGCTCCAGAACCCCCTTCCTCCAGACCCAGGAGCCCCATCCCCTCCTCCCTCAGACCCGGAAGCCCAGGCCCCCAGTAACCCCTTCCTCCAGACCTGGGGAGTCCCAGTCCCCAGCCCCCTCCTCCTTGAGACCCCGGAGTCCAGGCCCCCAGTCCCCCGGCCCCCTCTTCCCTCAGACCCAGGAGCCAGCCCCCCAGCTCCTCCGCCCTCGGACCCGGGAGCCGGAACTGCCCCCTCACCTGTCTCCTTCACTCTTTCCACCACAATGATAGTGTTGACTCTCTCTCCTCGGCTGCGCCGCTGGGGGGCCCGCGGAGTGGCGGGGACCGGCTCACTGGGGGACCCTGGGGGAGCAGGGGGCCCGGCAATCCGGGCTGAGGGAGGAGGGGCGTCTGGCCCTTTAGGGCCACTGTTCTGAGGGGCCTTCCGTTCAAGGGTCCCTGAAGAATTTGCAGCTGGTACTTTAGGGGAGTCGGGCTGGGGCTGGGTGGGTGCGAGGGTTGCTGGTGTGGGGTCTAGAGGCACCTCGTTGAGTGCGGTGGCTTTATCCTCGGAGGGTGCAGGTGTGTTTGCTGGAAGGTCAGTGGGGAGTTCAGGGTCAGAGGTCATGGGGCTCCCTGTTGCACCTTGGTATTGGGTTGTGGGGATTTCTGTTTTGGACATTTCAGTGGGGCTGGGGTCGTGAGTTACACGGACTTCTGGGTGGGGCGTTTCAGTACGGTCAGGATAGGTGGTCTGGGGGAATTCAGAATTTGGGGTCTGAGTGGTGGAATTATGTGTCTCTGGAGTTTGAGGGTCAGGGGTCTTGGTGGGGTCAGGCTCTGGAGGTAGGATTTTGGGGGAGTTCAGTTTGAGGACCTCAGTGGGTTCTTGGTGTGGAGTTTCAGTAGAGTCCGGCTTTGGGGTCTCAGGAAATTCTGACGATTTAGAAATATTAGGTTTTGGGGTCTCCAGGGACCCTAGGTGTCGCATTTCAGTGGGGTAAGTTTTGGGGGTCTCGGAAAGTTGTGGATGTGTTGTTTTGGAAGGCTCAGTTTTTGTGGTTGCGGGGGACTCTGGGATTGAGATGTTGTGTGTGCTAGGCTCGGGGGCTGCAGGGGTCTGTGGGTGTGGGGTCTCCGGGGGGGCAGGATTAGGGGTCTCAGGGGAAACTGCATGGGGTGGCTTAGAGGTCTCCAAATAAACAGTCCCAGGAGATTCTGGGATAGGCTGGTCGGGAGTGGAATTTTCAGCAGCGCTAGGGGAGGTCGCAGAGGGGCCACCCATGCCCGGCAAGTCGGAGCCCGCAGGCGGGGAGGCCGAGGGAGCAGCCTCGGAGCCCAGCCGGGTGAGGAGGAAGAGGAGAAGGAAGAAGGTTGGGCAGAACCGTTTCATCTCTGCAGGACACGACTATAGCTGCGGGGGAGCAGGAAGGAAGGGGTTAAGCCTGGAAGCTAACCGCAGGCCCCGCCCACTCCCAGAGACACCCCGCCCACTCCGGAGGCCCCGCCCACTGGCCCCAGCCTGGCGCCTGGCACCAGTGGGGAACTCAGCTGCAACTCTCGGAGGGCCGGGGCAGGAGCGCCGTAGCTAAGGGAGACTGAGGCGCGGGGCTTCATGGGAGTCGTAGTCAACCGCATCTGTTGCTCAGGGGTCCCAGAATTAATGGGGAAAGAATGACTTCTCTCCAGTCCCCCATTCCTCTTCGACCTAGACTTTGGAGGGTGCTAGAAGCCGGCCCAGGGGACGTGGACGGCCTTCTCTGGAGGACTCCTGGGCCATCTTGAGTCAACAGTTGTTTATAATAGAGGAAGCTCCGAAGGAGGCTGGGGGCGGGGCCGGCACTCCTGGGTCCAAGGGAGGATGGAGTTGGGGGCCCCTCCTGAGGGGGCCTCAATCCTTTGTTCTCCAGAGAGGAGAGACTTGGAGGTTCAGATGCCCAGAGTTTAGGGGAGCCTTTAAGAAGCTCTGATGACAATTGTGGGTACAGCATGTGGCTTCTAGCCAGGAGGCTGGCAGTTCAAACCCATCAGCTGCTTTGAGGGACAAAGATGAGGCAATCTACTTCCATAGAGACTTACACCCTTGGAAACCCAGTTGGGGTCGGTATGAGTCGGAATCGAAGGGTTTGGGTTTGATTATGGATTACAGAGGAGAAAGGAGGTGGGGGCCTGAACTCAGGTGCTGAGGGAGAAGGGGATTGGGAGCTCTGAGTCCCGGGTCCTTGAGGGGTAGGACCCTGGGGACCTGAGTTCTTCACCCTTCAAGAAAGGAAGGGGCTGTGGGGTCCAGCCCTGTCTTTCTGTTTCCTGAGGATGGAACTGGGTTCCCTGGGTTCCAGAAGCTGGTGTGGGGAGAGATGCCGAAGCGTGTGTTCAAGTCGGGGTGGGAGCAACACCCACCTGGTGGGGACAGGGCTGCTTGGGGTCTTGGATGAGTGTTGGGGTCTCTTACCTGCTCAGTGTGGTCCAAGGCAACAGCAGGTGAGGGAAGCTGCCAGCCGACAGGTGAACGGTGCACAATTGGCGCTGGGTGTGGTGGGGGAGGGGGAGGGGAGGGCCCCAGGGGTGCAGGTGACGCACCTGACCTCCCCCCCAGGGATCCTAGGAGCCGAGCCACAGGCTTGGGCTCTTAAAGGGACAGAAATCAAAGGCAACCAACGTCTCTGGGGAAAGGAGTTAGCGGATGATCTGAGGGTGGGAAATACCCCCACCAAGCCCACCTCCCTCAGACCCAGTCGCTGGCCTCTCCTTCTGCCAAACCCAACAGTCCAGACCTCTGACACCCCCCTGTCTCAAAACCCAGGAATTCTCGACCCCAACTCCTCCTCCCTCAGACCCAGGTGTCCAGGCCCCCAACTTCCCTCAGGCCAGAGGTCCTGGTTCCCAGCCCCCTTCTGGAAGGACTCTGTTGTTGTTGTTATGTGCCATCGAGTCAGACCTGACTCATAGAGACCCTCCTTGGGTTTCCGAGGCAGTATCCCTACGGAAGTAGATTGCCCCATCTTCCTTCCGAGGAGTGGCTGGTGGGTTTGAACCGCCAGCCTTCTGGTCAGCAGTCAAGTGCCTTAGGCACTATGCTACCAGAGCTCCTGGAAGGACTCTAGGCCCCTGTTTATTGAGAATGGAACCGGGTTCCCTGGGTGCCACAAGCTGGTGTGGGGTGAGATTCCTAAGCGTGTGTTCAGGTCGGGGTGGGAGTACCACCCACCTAGTTGGGACAGGGCTGCTTGGGGTCTTGGATGAGTGTTGGGGTCTCTTACCTGCTCAGTGTGGTCCAAGACACTCCTCCCTCAGACCCAGGAGTCCATGACCCCAGCCCCTCCATCCTCAGACCCACGAGTTCAGGCTCCTCAACCCACTGTCCCCCAAAACCCAGGAGTCCTGGCTCCTGTTCCCTCCATTCTCAGCCCCAGTTGTCCAGGCCCAGCCCTCTCTTCGGTGGGAACCAGGACGCCAGGTCCCCACTCTGGCCAATCAGAGACCCCCTGTGGCTCTTCCAACCCCCTACCGTCCCCCCCTCCCCAGCTTGGGAGACCCGTGTCAGTGGGAGGTGGGCTGGGTGTTAAGTCCTCAGGAGCCTAGGTGCCTGGGGCGTGCAGGACTCAGACACATCCCAGTGTGGCCAGCTCCATCCCGCATGGTCTCTATACGGCCTGTGTCCCTCACGCAGCCTCGCCTCACACCCCCGGGCCACCCCTTCCTGTCCACCCTCCTTCTCCCTCCATCTTTCTGGTTCTGCCCCTGCCTGGGCTCCTGTCTGAGCAGCTCTCCCCTGAGCGTCTGTCCTGCCGTCTTCCTGTCTTTCCCACAGTCCGCCCCCTCTCTCGTTTGTCACTGTCACTGCCTGTCTCCCTCTCGCTGTCCTCGGTCCCTCTGTCCCCGTCCAGCCCTCTCCCACTGCTTCCTGTCCCCCATCACTGCTGCTCCCCAAGTCTCTCCTTCTCTGCTGTGTCTCTGTCTCCTGCTCTGATGGCTCCGCCAGCCTCTATTTCTATCCGGCTGACACACCCCCTGTGTCCACCTCTCTCTGTCTGTCTGTCTCTCCCCCCCCACCTTCTTCTCCTTAGGTCCCAATTAGTTGGTGGCCGCCGAGAGCCGGCCCGTGGGGCTCCCACCCACCCCCGCTCCTCATTATCGCTGGCGGTTCCTAATGAGCCTGGGGTGGGCTGACCCCGTGCCCCCGGCCCACTGCCCTGCGTCACAGCCCGCCGCGGGGGCTGTGAAGGAGATATAAGGGGGCCCGCCACACCGCAGCCCTAGCCCACTGCGCGGTAGGGGGCCCTGCGGGTGGGCTGGCAGGCGTGGGGTCCTGCTGGCTGCCGGACGTGAGTCTGAGTGCTTACCTTTCTCTCCACAGGTGATGGAGACTCGCCAGGTGCCCGGGAGCCCCAGGGTGCTGCTGCTGGTACTGCTGCTGGTGCCCTGGGGGGCCCGCCCAGCCTCAGGGGTCGCCCTGCCTCCTGCAGGGGCGCTCAGGTGTGTGTGGGGCTAGGGCTCCCGGGGAGGGGGGGTCGCAGGGGAGTAGAGACCCAAAGAGAAAGGGGGACAGGGACCCAGAGAGGGGGAAACAGAGACCTAGAGAAAGAGGGACAGAGACCCAGAAAGACAGGGAGACAGGGCCCCCAAAAGAAAGGGGGACAGAGACCTAGAGAGGGGGGCAGAGACCCAGAAAGGGGGACAGAGACCTAGAGAAAGAGGGACAGAGACCCAGAGAGAGGACAGAAACCCGGAAAGGGACGGACAGAGACCTGGCGGGCCGGGGGGAGACCCAGAGACAGAAGGGGTCCCGACTCAGAAGCAGGAGAGGACGACAACGGGGAATCAGGACGAAAAAGCCGTACAGAGAGGTTCGGAGACCCCAAGACAGGCGTTTGGAGCCTTGAAAGGAGTCGCACAGAACCGGATTCCTCCCTCGAGCGACGTTTATTGAGCTGGAGCAGTGCGCCAGGCCAGCGCCTGAGGGGCTGGGAGCAGAGCGGAGAGCAGCCCCGGCTGGGTTCTCAGCGGGCTTCCATGAGGGGGACACACAGACCCGCACAGAGAGCGGGACGGAGACGGCGCCACGCCACCGACGGCGCAGCAACACGGCTGCGAGCTAGACTGCAGGGAGGACCGGCGGCGGCGGGTGGGGGCCGGGGCGCGCGCGTCACCGCGTTTCTCGGTGCCCCCCGCAGCCTCCGCGTCTCCGGCCGGCCCTGGGCGGTCCCGAGAGCCCCCGTCTCGCGGAGGAGCCTGGCGCTGGCTGACGACGCGGCCTTCCGGGAGCGCGCGCGGCTGCTGGCCGCCCTCGAGCGCCGCCACTGGCTGAACTCCTACATGCACAAGCTGCTGGTGCTGGACGCGCCCTGAGCGCCGCCGCCCGCTCAATAAAGCCTGGCTGCGCGCTCGGCCTGCGGCTCCTTCCTGCGCGGCCCGGGGCGGGGCGGGGCGGGGGCGGGGCCCGGGG